TTCCCTTCTGTTCATGGTCTGAGCCTCCTCTTTCAGAATTCCAAGAGCACTGGACCGACTGGATGTCAGGAGCCCTGGAATGTGGTCCTGACTCTTCCGGCAACTTCCTACTGACCTGAGGCAAGTCATTCATGGATCCTGAGCCTCCCTGAGTTGGTGGGTTGCACTGTAACTGCTAGGGTTGTTGAAGTTCTAACCTGGGGGCAGGCAGAGCCGCTCACCAGACACCCTGTGAGAGCTCGTGAGTAAGATCAGCCCTGGGCAGGCAATATGCATTGAGAAGGTGAATGGTTCTGGGATCTCCAGGAAAACTGGGTAATTGAGAAGAGCTAGGAAAAGGGAAGGGAATATAGGGATGTGTGTTTGGGGGCAGTGGGTGGGTAGGATGAGGAAACAGTGGAAACAGTTCCCCTGGCAGGTCTGGTGGGATGTATCTGTCTGGAGATGCCCTGAGAATGTGGCCCAGCAGTAGATGGGGTGAGGAAGGAGAGCTGGTGTGGAAAGGAGGGAGACCCACCTGTGGGGGCCTTCCCTCTGCTAACCTGCTTGGGCCCCGGCCTCCAGGAAGGCACTAGTGTCCCAGAATAGGAGGAGAGGCTGAGAGGTAAGACTTCAGGAATTGTTGGAGATGGGGACACTCATTGTGTGCAATGCTCCACGTCAGTTTGTGCTGCCTGATGGTTCTTTCCCAAGACCCATCTTGCACCTGTGGATGGCTTTGTGCATTCCTCTGTTGTCACCAGGAGCACTAATTAATTATGTAAATTAAAATTGACTGACTACCCCTTATGTGTGAGACACCAGGCTCAGGCCCAGGGATAGGCGAGGAAAGCAGGGAGCAGCATTTTTGCCTTCCTGATGGGACAGTCTGATCAATGATCACAGTTAAAGTAAGTGCCACAAAATAAATCAGCTGGTTGCTGCAATAGTGCATCATCGTGCGGAAAGAGGGATGTCCAATTCAGGTAAGGCTGTTGGGCAGGATTTCTTCCTGGAGTGACAGTAACACGGAGGCGTACCTGTGTGTTTTAATTGTGAGCTCCTCAAGGGCAGGGATTAGGTCTTATTTACTTGGAAAGCTCCAGTGCTTAGAACACTGTCTGGCATTTATTATGAAAATTGGGATTATTTTTATGGTAGGTATTCAATGAACTTTTGATGAATAAATAAATAATTTCCTTCCAGCAGTTCCTATTTAAAGCACCATGTACTTAATCACATGAAGACAATTATGTCAAACACGCCTGATACACTTATGCCTGATCTGTCTTTATTTCTTCCTCTCTCGTCTCCCCTTCATTGATTTTTGTTTCTGTCTCCATTTGAGGCCTCAGATGTGTTGAGTCCAAATAGGAGAACACACACACACACACACACACACACACACACACACACATTACCCATCACCTCCATTCCTGCAAATGCTGCCAATTCTATCCGAGAAGCTATTAAGCAATCCCGAATAGAGCAAACCTCTCATTGACTATCACATGCCTCCTTAAACAACCTTTGAATAGTGCTTTCGTTTTATTGCTTTGTGAAGTTTAACAGCACCAATTGTGATTACTCTAGCTTATGATAAACCCCAGATCTATAAAAGTCCTGTTCATTCATTATTTTTCTCTTGCTCCTTCTTGAGCTGTTATTTATTTATTTATTTTTGGGATGTAGCAAGGAGCAGGGGGTGGGAGGAGGAAGAGGGAAATAAAAATATACCAAATTAACAGGGAAACGGATGAAATAGGGGACAGCTTCTCCCCGAGTGACAGACACCCTCTTAGATACTGTTAAACAGAACAAATATGCCTTAATACAGAACAAGTAGGTTTTTTATATTTATTCTAAATTGGAAATATAATGATTACCACCTTATCTTTAACGGAAGAAGCAGCTAATTGTTCCAATATCTCACTAATTCCAGCATCTGGGAGAAAATTATTTTTTACTATTTTACCAATTGTTCAATTTATACCTAGGTGTATAGTGCAGTGTGGACAGAGATTTCTGTTTCTTGATCTATATCATGGCTGCTATTCCAGTTCAATTATTAATATGTGGAAGTTATAATTATTTTGAGTATTGGTACAAGATAATTATAAACCATAAAACAGCTCCCCATGCTCACTGATGCCTTTTCTTATCTACAGACGTGCTGGAGTTTGGGCCTGTGAGTTGTAGAGAGAGCAACACATGTATAATGTGGCACTTGGGGTCGCAAGACTGGCTGGAGTGGGGGCAGAGGATCCTTCCCCCCTTGCAGGTCCTTTCGGTTCTCCTCCTATGCCTTCCACCCTCCAGAGCCAAAGCCAACCCACCATATGCATCTCTCCTTCTGCCCCACTGTCTCACCTGCCTCCTATCTGGTCTCCTGTTTTCTAGTTGAGGTTTGTAACTCATCATCTATGGTGGTTTAGCTTGCCTGCCACCCCTTTGTTTCCTTGTTTACCCAGCAGCAGCTCCTGGGTGTGTGGCTGTGTGCATGTGCATGAATCTGTGTTGGGGCAGTTGGGAGGGGTGAGAGCCAGCCACATGCAAAGAGGGAGGCAGGGGTGGGGAGTTAGCTGCTCTGTTACCCCTTGGCTATGGCCATTGCCTCCATTCCCTCCTTCTTTCTGAATACCTTGCTTTATTACTAATGAGTCTATCCTAGGGAGAGGATTTTGGCAAGGGGTAAGGCACCTGGGATCACTCATTCTTAACCAAGTCAACCATAGTCAGTTGAAAGGAATAACACATTGGTGTGGATTGCATGTGTTTGGAGAAGGGGCTCAGAGAAAATGGGCATTGTTTTGGTTATCTTCCCATTTTAACAACAACAAAAAAAAACACTTTAAAATGCCATCTTAGCTTAGTTGTGGTAGAAAGTAAAGCTAACTGTCTTCAGAAGTAATCAGATCCCGGTCTTGGTTCCAAGTCCTCCTATAGTCCCCTTCCGACTCCGTTCCTTCCCTCTTTACTTAAACAATATCTACTCCCTACTTACTATTAAATTTCTTTTTCCTACCATTTTCTTACCCCCTGGGTCAGTATTACCATTATAACTTTCTGCTATGGCAAATGCATCAAGACCCCATTTCTATGTTAAAGCCCCTAATACCCGACGTGACTATATTTCAAGATGGGGCCTTTACAAAAGTAATGAAGGTTAAAGGAGGTCATAAGGGTGGAGCCCTGATCTGATAGGATGAGTGTCCTTATAAGAAGAGACACCAGAGAGCTTGTTCTCTCTCTCTCTGTCAGGTTAGGACACGGGGAGAAAGAAGAGACCGTCTCACCAGAACTGACCATGCTGGTACCTTGATCTTAGACTTCCAATCTTTAGAACTGTGAGAAAATAAACTTCTGTTGTTTGAGCCATTCAGTCTGAAGTATTTTGTTATGGCAGCCTGTGTTAATATATCCCTCCCCTGGCCACTTGTGAAAGGTTGGTTAGAATGGGGGTGTTAAATCGTGTTCATCAGCCTTGTGATAGGATTCTTTTTAGGCCCCGGGATATGGAGTCAGTATCCTTCTACTGGGGTCAGACTCTTGGAGCTTGAGCTTGCAAATGCAGCCCAGCTCCTGACTTTTTGGCTTCCCCAATCCCCGTGAACCTCATTTTCAGCTTCTCTAACGAGCAATGCCAGCAAGAGAATGTGTCTATTCAGCACCACGGACAGAGGTACCCTGTCAATTCCCACAAATTAGAAGTTACTGCCTAGCCCTCTCACACAGGTGGTGCTGGGAAGGGTGGAGGCAGGCTGAGCAAGAGACAAGTCAGGGAGGAAGACCACCTGGCAGGATGCAGACAGTGCAGCCCCTAACCCTGGCTGTGCTCAGCAAGGGGGCTCCTGCAAATGAGAAGTGCCTTCTCGAGGCTGCAGCCTTCTCACACAGATGGGCTGCAAAATGAAGGAGGGGCTACTCCTTGCACTTAGTTGTGCTGGCCTGACTCTTGTCAAGTTGTCACCCTGATGGGTGCTGGCCACAAACCTATAGCTGGCAAGGTATTAGGTCTGGGGAGCCTGTGGGGGTACCGGTGTCATGGACTGTGGGTTAGGAGAAGAGTCAGCTGAGGAGCAATGGGAAGAGGGCATCAGAACTTTGGTGTAACTTTGGGGATAGCAGTGGTACAGGTGAGCTGCCTCCTCCATGCCTGGAATGGGAATGAGGGTACAGGGGCTCTGGGCCTTGGGAGGGGAGGAGCCTGGCTCACGGCAAGCTGGTGGAGAGCCAGAGCTTCATTTGTCTGACTTTAATGAATAAATGGCATCCCCAGCCATTGTTTATCTACTTTTGAATCCTGACAAACAGTCTGTGGCATCTGATGAAGAGGGTTATTAGCTGCACGGAGACAGATGGTTGGGGACGAAGGGATTGGCTCTTTATTATAGCAGGCCCACAAGTGACAGCACTCTGTTTACTTCCCAGCCTCCATATCAATGTCAATACCTTCCTGTCACCTCCTGTGACCCAGTCAAGCCTCAGAGGAAAGACCCCAAGCAAGAGGAAGGCAGAATGGCCCATGAGTAAGATGGAGAGGTAGGGCCAGTGGAGTTGGAAAAGAGGGCAGATTTCCCATTGTAAGTTCTTTGAAAACAAAAACTCTGCCTTATTCTTCAGGATTTTCCCAAGTGCCTTTTAAGGGGCTGTTTATTCAATAGGCATTCAAAAAATGTGAATGACTGAAGAGAAAGATAGAGAGGTCTGGATTAAAAAAGATAATAGAAGCAGATTTAATTGTGCTGGGTGAGTGGTTGGGGAACAAAGGTAGGGAAGAGAGAGGAAAAGAAATAGAAGACACAAAGGGTTAGGAAGATAGCATGAGGAAAAGTGCTTACGAATCAGCATACTGTGTTTCATGCATTAGCTACTCTTCCCCATGTTTCTAGATAAAGAGCTTCATGGAAATCAAATGGCTCTGTCTACTGTTCCAGGTTCTTCTTCCTGGTACCAGAGTTGCAGGGCATAGCTTCCACCCTCCACATTACCCCCAAGAGGGTGGGCAGGTTCTCACTGACCTTCATTCATTCTCCGAAATTTGTCCTTGGCCATGTAGCCCAGCACCAGACAGCATCCTCTCTTCTGGAGGCCCAGCTCTGGAAGAAAAGCACAGGTGAGTGAGCTGGGAATGGATCAGGTGTCAGTGAAGGCCCCTTCGCAGTGGGTATGAAGTTGCTGCTCTTATAAACAGGGCTACTTATGTAACATTTACATAGCACTTGCTATAATCTGGGCATCCTATTAAGCCGGTAATTCCTCATTTGATTCTCACAATAACCCTATGAGGTGCATACCAGTATTATCTCCATTTTATATCATCCCCATTTGCAGATGTATTAAGTAGGCAGTCTTAGATGGAAGAGCTAGCTGACGGCAAACCAGGAGTTTGAATCTAGGCAGTATGGCTCCAGAGTCCACGCTCATACCCACTACTCTATAGGCTAATGATGCTCTATAGATCCCAGGCTTGGGGACTATATCCACCTCATGCTGGGACTGTGGTCAGGCCTGCCAAAGGAGAGGCAGCGTCCAGCTATTGGTGTCCAGGATGGAGCAATGCAACCAGACACAGAGCAGGGTGGTTCAGAGGAATGAAGAAGTGGTTGGGTGAATTTGGGAGAAGACACAGGGGTGGAGGTAGAGGAGTCTACTTTTTGGGAGAGAGAGAGTTTCTGGGTCTGGGGATTCCTGGACATTCTCATATTCAGGCACAAGGTGGTGCCGTCCTCAAGTGTTTATGAGGGGTGGACTCTAGTGTGGCGCGCAGGGATTGGGATGGCTAAGGGACACAAGGTGTAGCTTCTGGTCCCACAAGACTTTGACACAATTGGAAAAGCAAGGCGGGAACAACAATTCTAGGTAGTAAATGCAAGAGACTTTTTTTTTCCTCCCACGGTATTTGATAAATGGGTGCCCCTTGTACTTGGGTGTCAGGCTGGAGTTATGTCTGACTCACAAGAAGGCAAGAGGTCCTTGCTGGTATTTATCTTCTCATCCTGGTTTGTCTTAAGCACCTTGTGGGTTTCAAAGCCATTCTACACCAAATTCTTCTTCTGACCCCCCACAGCACCCCCCTGAGTTAGGCAGACATGTTATTGCTCTTCATGCTCTGCAGATGAGAAATCCCAAGTTCAAAGATGCTAAGTGACTTCCCAGGATTATTTTAGACTCCCTGCCCCCACCTCTTTGCTTAGGACTCATACAAACTTGACAGCTGCCATGGTGAATGGACAAGGGGTTAAGATTTCTGGAAGAGGGCATGTGACTGCACCTCCTCCCGGGGCTTGCCACGCTTTCTGGGCACCGAGGGCCTCCCTCCATGGGTCCCGCAGGGAAGGAGGGTCCCACTGAGTGGTGCATCACAGCAACTCCTCCCTTGACACTGGTGTTTCTCAGAGCCCTGGCCGGTTAGCAGCTACGCTGTTGGAGCTTAGACAGGGTGAGCTCATTTCCCCTCCCTACCTCTCCATCCACCTCTTGTCACCCAGGTTCTACCCTCCATGGATTGCAGGATGAAAGGGCCCGTGAAAGGCAGATAAGTCAAGCTTAGGGGCTCTTGCCCTAGAGAAAAACAAAGTGTGGCGGGTAGGTGGCAGAATGCCATGGCCTTGGGTGGTTGCTAGCTTTGATCTCCCGATTCTTTAAAGGGGTTTATTAACTATCAGTAAAGAGCAGAGAAGCAGATCTGAGCGTGCCTTTCCCAAAGGCGCTCACTTCTCTTCCATCCTCTCCAAGCGCGCTCATCTGAAGGCACAGCCAAGCCAACCTCACTTCAAACAGCTTTACATCTCGTGCGCTCAAATTGACGATGTTAAGTTCCCTCATCCAAGGCCTTGGCCCTTTCTTCAAGGGCTCCTGCTCTGTTGAGGGCCCTGTGGATCAAAGTCCCTTTGATGTTTACTTACTATATTTGTGGATTCTTTCTCACAACCACCTTCAAGAGGCAGGAATGCAGCCTGCCAGGAGGGGGCCTGCGGAAGTACAAGCTGTGAGGAGGCGCCCCCAGCTCCCGCGAACAATAGCCTCTTGCCTGAGACTCTGAGACTATAGAGAAGCCTCAACATGCTGACAACAGGCCGAGTTAACCAGCCCATTATAATCGCAGGAGCATTGTTCATCGCCAGAACCATACAACTGCTGACGGTTCTTATTATATTTTCCATTGACGTCTTATGCCCATCTAAAGCACATCAGCAGGGACTCCTAATGAGAAAAGGAACTGGGGTTCCTGCATCGAGTCCAGGGAAGCACGGGGGCGGGGGGCGGGGAGGGGAGCACAAGATGCTGGACGGATTTAGGCCAAAATTCCTGTTGATTTTGCTAGATCCCCCCTCCCCCAAGCTCTCAGGGAAACGGAGGGGGCATAATTCTCCTAGACATTTAGAAAGTGGGGTCAACCTGTTGAATCCAGATCATCTGTGTTGGCTGTCTCTGTCACTCCAACTCAACCCATCCTATGTCACATAATGGGTTGCCCCCAGGGTGGCTGCCCGAGGAAAGAAGCCATATGTAAGAGTCTCACTGACCGTGTTTGATTTTTGCAAATGAGCAGGAAAGAATTTTTTAGAAACCTGATTAATAAAAGAAATGGAGGATGAGCAATTTCTTAACGTGTTTGGCTCATTTAATTTGGCACGTGTGGGTTAGTCTTAATTATTTAGGCAGCTGTATTATGAGGCGCTAACAAGCACACTGCAGAAATGTATTGAGTGAGAGTGCTCTCCGACTGAGTCCTTACTGAGAAGTGGGGAGAAGCCACCGGGATCTTTGCAAGAATGAGCAGGTTGGAGAATTAGTGAAGTGAGAATTAGATATCTATGCGCATATGGAAATTTGGGATGTTCTTCGAAGAGATTTGCAGAGCTAAATTAGAAGTCACTGGGTCTGCATGAGGAAACAGGCCAGGGGGGCTGAAGTGGGGGAGGGGAGGAGACTGTGGAAGCCCAGGTGGGGAGGCGGCGTGTTGTCAAAAGCACTGAGCAGGAGGTCACCACTATGTCTTGGGGCATCTCTACCCCACCAGACTAACCAGGTTCCTAGGGGAGAGATGATAGAATGTGACACAAAGAACAGGGATCTTTCCCTTTGTGAGCCAGACAGCACCAGGCTGCCACCGTCCTTGTCACAAGGCACTGGGACTGAAGGTGGAGTCAGATCACAGATGCCCATTTTAACAGCAAGATATCAGGGTCTTCTCCACGGCGACCTTGGGGCTGCAGACTTTGGCTGAGCACTTATCAGTAGCAGAACCACCGGACGCACCAAAGGTGTCCATGGAAAATGATGAACGTGAATCGAGTCATCCTGGCTTAAAAGGAAAGTTCACAGCAAAGAAGTCCAGGGTCACCTGCAGATGGGGTGGGGAGGGCACTGTCTGAGGAGAGCAAAGGTTTAAGAAATCCTACTGTGCAAGGAAACATTTATGGGGAAAGTGCATGTTTCTTGGGGAGAAGGGTACACACCCTAGGAACTCCTAGCCTCTAGACTCTGAGCAACAGAAGGGTTGGGATTGTGCTGTTTTCAGCTCTAAGTCCCTGGTCCCGAGCACAGTGCCTGGCACCTGGCAGGAGCTCAGGGACAGTCTTCTGATTCAATGAGAGGGCCAACCACAGACTCTTGGGTAATGACCCTCTCTCCCCTCCCCTAGGTCAGAATCCAATCAGGTGGGCTGAGACGTCGCACAACGGAGTAAGTTAGGTGAGGGTGGTTGCCGAGTGAATGAAAGTTGTAATTCATTGGAAGAGAAGTCTAGGAAATGTGAGATTTCCTCTGGGAGGAATAAAAAGGGATGACTTTATAAATGGAACCGTTTTCCTTCAGTTTCACAGGGTGAAGATGGGACTTTTTCTAGCCTTAGGATTTCTTTATTCTTAGTAGTAATAACAATGATACAGTGCTATTACTTCACATTTGCGGGACTCTTGGTTTTTCACGATGCTGTCATATTCACTACCTTATTAGAGGCTCACAGTAGCTCCGTGAAGTAGGTGAGGAAGAATGGTCTATTTCCTCCATTTTGGTTTCAGAGACCGAGGCTCAGAGAAGTAGAAGGACAGTTCAAGGCCAAAGCACTAGCTGATAATAGCGCCCATGCTAGAATCCAGGTCTGATTTCAAGCTTAGCTCTCAGGGTAAGGTCTGGGGTCCCAGGGCTGCCGATGCTATGAATCAAGACAATAGAGGACACAGGTCGGCGGTCCTGGCTGGGCCCGTGTTCCGGGTTGGACTATGTCTCTCCCACCAATTCACATGTAGAAGTACCACGGGATGTGACTTTGTTTGAAGACAAGGACTTGACAGAGATAATCAAGTTAAAACGGCCATTAGGGGGCCCGAAGCCAATGGGACTGGTGTCCTCATAAAAAGGGGAAATTTGGAGGCAGACACATACATAGAGAGGGAGGGTGCCATATGAACATGAAGACAGCCGTCTACAAGCCAAGAGAGAGGCCTGGAACAGATTCTTCTCTTACAGATCTCAGAAGGAAACCACAGACCAGACTTGAATCTTATAAAGATCATTTTAGCACTGTGCAGATGACGGATGGGCGGGGGTAAGCCCAGACAAGTGAGCGCAGTTGTTCAACGCCTGCCGTCCTCCTGGTGACCCATGCTGGACTGACATCTGCTCTCTGTCCCCTCTCTCTGAAGACAGCCTGAGATCAGAGAGCAAGGGCAAGGACCCTGAGCTTCCTCAGTGAGACATTCAGAGCCTCTATCTCCCTGCCACCTTGACACAGGAGAGTGGTGGAGGGGCTGCAAATAGCTCACCAGATGGTTCCTGAGACCATATGGAGAAGGCGTCAGCTGGACCTGGCTGGAGTCACAGCGAAGCCATGTGTGTTTCAATACAATCGGTCCTGGCTGGAGCCTGGCTCCAGCACATGAGACTGAGGTACGCTCAGGGCTTCTCTGCGCTTTAATGTTCTCATTTATAAAATGTGGATATGGAGAGTAAGACCCTCTGCTCGTGGTTAATATGAAAATCAGAGGCACTTGGTGAAGGGTGCCCAGGATCCAGTAGCTGATAAGGGCGAGCGCAAGAAACAGAAACAAAATATCAGATTGGGAGTTAGGGACTGTCAGATTCATCCTCC